GGATGTGTGCCAACAATACCTCATAAACAATATTCTCTTTGTTTCTTAGTTTATATCGCTGTGTGTGTAGGAGGGGGAGTTTGGGCAAAGCAGTGTGTGGTTTTGCAGGCCGAGGTAAGTTTACCAGCGGCGACGGCAATGGGTTGGTGCCCAGCACCGCCCATAAATCGTGGGGCCAACCGAATTTATGCTGTCTTTTTTTTTTGCGTTGGTGCATTGTTTCCCTCGCTTTTTTCTTTTTGTGCATGGCGTCGTTCTGGCTGGTGTGCCGCCGCAGTGGGTGCAGCCGAATTCGTCCCTGAGGGCCTCGAGCAAACGATGTTTTTGGCGCTTCTGTCTCTTGATGAGTTGCCATCCTGGGCGTATGTGCGCCTGCTCCGTGCGTTGCTTGGGCAGCACGCACCGGGCGAGCAGCCTGGAGCTGTGGGCACGTTGGCGCCGCCCTCCTCCTCCTCCTCCTCTTTTGCCGACTGAAGGAGTGCGTGCGGGAGGGGGCCGCCTTGCTTTATTCTGCGGGGCTTTTTTGTGTTTTTGCAGGGGCAGCGGAGCAATTGGGGGTAAACTCCCCCTTGCGGGGGTGGGGGCTTCGGAGTTGTTTGTGGTGCAGGTACAATGTGTGTGTGTGTGTGTGTGTGGGTGTTTCGGCGAGGGAACAACGGCGAGACGGTGAAGCTCCCAACGAAATGTAAACGACGTTTGTGCCTGCGGACGTCCAGTGGGAGACGAGGCAGATGCATCCGTCCCTGCGGGTAATGTACACCGTTTTGTGAGACCACCTGCCCTATACGCCTTTTGCTTTTGTTTTTGCTTCGGGGGTCCATCGTGACGGATGCGGCGGCAACAGGGCCGGCCGACGTCAAATGCTCTGTGGACTTGGACCCCTCCTCTTCGCGAGCCTCCCGGCTGTTTGGCCACGCACAGCTGCCGCCCATGCACCTCGCAGCTGCCAAGTCTGTGGGGGACACGTGCCACGGCACCGGCGCCGTCCTGGATGAGTGTCTTTTAGGCGTCTCAGTGCCGAGCCTGACACCACAACCGCCGGACGCAGTTGTGCAAATGCGCTTGGGCGGCCTCTGAGGTGCGATTGTGGACCGAGTGCCACAAGGCGCCTGCGTCACGGGATTACCTCCCTTTTTGGGGGAACCTAAAAGCAAACAGACTACCCGCCCGCACCGCCCCCGCCTCTGGTTGAGGGGAGCCACACCGCTGGGAGGTCTGCCGTTGCTGCGTGGCACCCTCTGAAGGCCATTCACGAGGCGCCGGCTTTCCTTGGCGTGCATGCCAATGCCTCAATGCGTGCAGGTCCAACACTGCGCCTGGGGTTGTCATTTGCTAACGGCGTTCACCTGAAATTTGGCGGCTCTGCTGCGTTGAAGGATTCATTGGAAAAGGTGGAGGGGTTGTTTGCCCTGGTGGGGCTTCGGGGGGCCTTTGGTGGCACAACCCAGCACACGCCGGTTGCTGAAGAGGGCTTTACTGGAGCTCAATGTCCCGCAAACCCTCAACCTCACTGCAGAAGACGTGCGTAATGGTTTCAATTGCGACAAGCACGGCGAGGATTGCAATGCGCCGATTTCCAACGGTGTCACAGTCCAACATCTCCGTGTCGATTAGCCTTGCTGAGTGTGTGCAGTCGCGTCGTGACAAATAACCTGGCCCCGCTCTCGGCACGACTTTTGGGTAGAATGCTCGGACACACACGATGAGCTGTGGGGCTGTTAAGGATTCCTGGGCATGCCTTCCGGATGTTGGGAAAAGTGAGTATTCAACTCCACCCTCAACGCCGCCTTTTGGCGAGCGTGATTGCTGTGGGTGCTGCCGCTTATTTTGGCAGCCGCCGCCGCCAGGAGTCTATTGGCGTTAGCGTCGAAATGTGGCAGCTACACGCGAAGGTGACCGCGTATCAATTGAGGCGTGCGCTAGTGGGAGGCGCTGCCTTGATGACTCTGACTGTTCTCGCAGCCTTCGGCTTTTACTTGGACCAGCGCCGCGACCGCGGCCGGTTTGTTTGTTTGTTTCTGGGAGACGATTTTCCATCAATGAGCTTCCCACTCGTGGACTCCGCACACACAAAGTAGTGTATTTTGCCGGCGTGTACGTGTTTGCGGTTCCTGTTTTTTGTTTTTGTTTTCGGCGGTGTGCGTCTTTGCATCACGCTGCCGGTCACAGTTGTAATGCACGCTTTTCCCGCAAAAACCCGGCCTGGGAATCTTGGGGCCGATTGGCTGCTTTGGCAAATTCTCGTTCCTCGATTCCTGCGGGGCGCTCCTTGTGGGGTCAGGGCTGCTGCTGGAAGGCGTTGCCTCGGCGGCAATGCGTGCTGGATTTTACTTCTTCCCTTGCGGCAACGGCACTTTTCATTTTTATTGGGGGAGGGCGCGACCACCGTCTGGCGCCGCGACACGCCAGTTCGCAAAAATCGCCTCGTCGAAGGGGCCAGTTGCCGGCGGTGTGCCCGAGGCACAGCCCAATGAGAGGGCGCGAGGAAGGCACGCGAAGGAATTGGCGGGCCGTGCCGTGGAGTGAGGACGTGCCTTTGCGATGGGCCCACACCGCACATTTGTCTTTGCGTGTGTCAGTCTCTCTGCTGGGTGGTTCCTTGTGCTCGGTGCATTGTGAAAGGGAATGGCTTCGGCAGCTGTGCCGGAAGACCGTTCGATGACTCTTTTGGGGGATCAGTGTCACAAACATATTTTTTCTCATCGTCGTCTGTGTTTTCGTCATTCTGATCGCTGCGGTGCCTTTTGCTCGCGTCACGGTCTGCAGCTGACGCACTTCTTCTGGCGTGTGTGTGTGTGTGTGTGTGTCGCTGGCCCATTTCAAATTGAACAGTTTGCACGATGCATGCTCGGCGACAAAGTGAGGGACATTTACGGTGCCGGTGCGGCGCTGCTTTGGCCGCTCACTCCGCGGCTGATCTCCGCCGTCTGGCTGTGGGCCCTCCCGCTGCCGAACACACTTGCAAGGGGAGGCGGCATGTGCGGCAGTGGCTGGCAGCACGCAAGGCGCCACAGTCCTCTGAGCCCCTCTAGCAGCCTTTTTTTTTGCTTTTTAATTTCCGTCTTTGTTGTGTATTATATGCGTTTGTGCCTTTGCCGTGCCTTCTATTTTGATTTTTGTCGCTCTTTTTTTCTTTTTGCTGCTCCTATTAATAGGGAGCGTTAGGGGAC